CAAAAGCGGGTAGATGCTGTCATATCTGATGTGGTCACAGCATCTGCAAATGTTGAGGAAGAGGTATTCCCATTTTGTTCTTTCTGCTGCATGCCGGTCACTGAATGTGTAGGTCACGAACGATACACGTTTCAAAATACACAGATCACACGCATAAAGTAACATTTTATCTTTTTCAATACACAGGAATCTCCAACTTCTGAACCGCCTTCTGAATTACCAATGAAGCGGGTGTCAAGGCCAGCGAGGATTTTGTGTTCTCCATTTGTTGCGGGTGCAGGAAAGTTATCCGGCATGACGACAACATTATTGTATTTGGAAGTTACAAAGACAATGTTGAAGAAACTGATAAGTCGACATTCTTGGGTTGGTTCCAGAGAGGGTACAAGCCCAAAAAAAGGCACGAGTATTTTCTTCCCTTTCTTCAATCTATTGCTCATATGGTCACAGTAAATTGTTCTTACATTTTTTGTTTCAGGAAAAAGTTTAATGAGCATGATGACGTAATCAAACCAGCTTTTGTTATTGGCTCATATCCAGTCGGTAACAAAACATGGTTCCACCAACTCGTAGACCCTGAGACGTCTTTGAATAGCGGGGTATGGTAACATTCATGTATTTGTTCACCGTACAATTACTTGTTAACAAATGAGACCACGTTACGACTCTGCTACCACATCATGCACGAACTACTATGCGGTTCACTGACACAGTGGTCTCATAAGTATATGTTTTGTTCAACAAGTCACATACCAACCTGGTCACAAGTCACAGAATCACAACTTTATGAAATTTTCTGATGTTGCTCTTATTTCTTATCTTCTTGATCACACAGCACATGGATGCATGCTTCTACTACATTCGGCAGCTAGCAAAATTTGGGAAAGTACAGTACGGAGCTACAACAACAAACTCCTATTTCCAGAACATGATAAAAGACATATACCCCGCTTTCAAAAAAGATCCTAATGTTCTGTTGTCAGGAAGCCGGTTGTTCCAGGTGGTCACAGGTGATAGCATAACTATAAGCACACCTTGGGCTGATGTAGACTATGTGTTCATGCCTCTCCTGCCCACGAATAAAGCTCACTGGTTGCTAGGTCTGCTAGAATTCAGAAGCCACAGATTGATCGTGTTCAATTCAGCTGGTAAAACTTACCATGACTGGAAGGTGCTAAAAGGTGTTGAGCCTTATGTGAAGATATTGCTTGCTCTAATGAATGCATTGGAAATTTCGAAAAAAGACCCTAACTATAATGGATCTGGGTGCATAGAATTGAAGGTGACCGTTGACACTGCCATACCCCAACAGATGAATGGGTGAGTATGTGACCAATACTACATACATAACATATTTTAATATTATTTCATAACATACTGTTTTGTGTTATTGCACAGTCATGATTGCAGAGTGTTCGTCATATTATATGCGTTATATATCCTTCGAGATGGCAGATGTTCTATACCACAGAAATTTGATGTCGCCAAATGTAGACTTGATATTGCATCGCTACTCTACAAACACCGGGAGACCTATGTCAAGAATTCGAGGCAGGCCACAAAAGGAGAGGGCATTGTCATTGAATGAGGATTGTCACAAAAGTTTTTGTAAATGGATTTTATGCTCGAATATGTAGTCTTTTATAAATCAATGGGGGTGATTGATTTGAATATTGTCCTATTAATGTAAACTCATTTTTTGCATTCCATGAGTGCCACTACTTTTAGTATGTAATGAACCGTTGTTTGGACACATAGTAGTGTGACTAGTCATCGATTTCGTTTGCATGTTCACATATCTTATGAATATCATGTCACATATTCACATTGCGACACAAAACATATTAATAACAGGTCACAGATTGCATTGTTCAATAAAGGCACAGGTCACAGTTTATGTTTTTCTACTGACGGGTTGGTCACATATTTGATTTTCCGCACGGGACTAATGAATATTAGGTCACAGATTACTGTGTTCACTACATATTTTGTTATGTGACCTGTTTACAAATAGTTCAAGATTTTATAAATTTTATTTTGTAATGCTACATGTTAACATCAGTCACATGTCTTATGATTCTGAGGTCACATTTCATGTTATGTAGCACGGAAAACATATTAATAACAGGTCACAGATTACATTGTTCAATAAATGCACAGGTCACAGTTTATGTTTTTTTACTGACGGGTTGGTCACATATTTAATTTCCCGCACAGGACGTATGAATATCAGGTCACAGATTACTGTGCTCACTACATATTTTGTTCTGCGACCTGTTTACAAATAGTTCAAGATTTTATTCTGAGCAAATTTTATTCTGAGGTCACATTCATGTTTTGTAGCACTGAAAACATGAATTTCAGGTCACAGATGACAATGTTCAGTAAAAATACAAGTCACCATTTTGTGACCTGGCACCAACAATTGAAGATTTTGTAGTGATCTTGTGGTTACATGTTATTTCCTAATTTATTTTTCTTTTGCTACACGATAATGCGATTGGTCACAGTTGTAGTTCATAATAGCAATATCACGACATATGATTATGAGGTCACATGTTTATGATGTCACATGTTTACATATGATTATGAGGTCACATATGTGATTAAGTTCGTAATAGCAGTCACACGTTGTATGATTATGAGGTCACATATTTACAGTGAACACAGTAATACGACTAGTCATCGATTTAGTTTGCAGGTTCACATATCCTATGAATATCAGGTCACATATTTACATTGCGACACAAAACATATTAATAAAAGGTCACAGAATACCTTGAATAATACAGCCACAGGTCACAGTTTAAGTTTTTCTATTGAAAGTGTGGTTATATCAGGTCACAGTTTATAGTGTTCAGTTATTTCCTGCTCTTACGAATGCACTGAAAATCTCGAAAAAGGGCCCTGATATGAATATCATGTCACAGATTTATGTGTACACTGTAAATGATGTAGGATCCATATGGAGGTCTTCAAGCTCTTCTTCTGCGCAAATTTTGATGTTTATGGGGTCTTATGATTATGGGGTCACATATTATGTTCTGAAGCAGTTGTAGTTCGTAATGCCACATCTGACTAGCAGACACACATGTCGTACGATTATGAGGTATTATCAGCACTAGATATACGAATGTCAAGTCACAGATTACAGTGTCCACTAGATAAGATAGGCCACATATCATGTGAAAGACATTTGGTCACAAGTGATGTCAACGCTGTTATTCCAGTAATGTTTCAAATTCAAGAATATGACATATGGTCACAATTGAATAATGTTTCTTATTCAAGAATGAAAACTTTGGTGTTTTAATCAGGTATCGGTCCCTACTATGAGCTGTCTTTTTCAAACGTTGTTACTCTGTCGGACGCTCTTGTTCAATGGAAGAAAATTTGAGCATCTCCTGCGGTTGTGTCCATGTTCACCACACCGTCCACACCTTACTTTCGGTTTGCCTTCCCTAGATGATCTCTTCCTTTTCTCTGTAGGTCTTCCACAACTTCGTTTTTGGTCAGGAGGTAACACAATTTGGTTTTGTACTTCGTTAGGAACTGTCCATTCGTCTGGGTTTCCAATAGGATATACTGAATGTTCATAAGCTTTTAAAAATGCATCATTTGTGTAATAGTATGAACAGTAAGCATATGGATCCCTTTTTGTATGCGCAATTACAGCCAATGCATGTGGACAGGGCATCAGATCGACTTGCATCATCCGACACGTGCATGTACGTTCCTCAATATCAACAACAAAGGTGGACCTGTCATTGCTGATGACGGAAAAAATTGTCTAGTTGGAAGCAGATACCTGCAAGAATGTAGTGTTGTGGTACCAATTGTATTTTGTCAGTTTCAAAAAGATCAATTCTGGTCACAGACATGCAAATTTCAGTGTACATTGCTCAAATCGGGTCACATGCAATCATACTTTATTTTGGATATCATGGATTCGAGTCACAGATGCAAACATCAAATCACTCAGCGTTGCAAATGCAAATTGCAAGAGAGATGAATTTAATACTGGGTCACATGCATTTATAGTTAGAACACACAACTGTTCATTCCAGGTCGGATGCAATTATGGTCAGGTCACATGTATCTTCATTTAGTACACATACACAAACATCAGGGTAAAGATAAGATACCTACCCTTAAGTTCCTTAATTCTGAACTCATTTTTCTTAAACTGTTCTCAAACTTGCTTGTCAACATCGTGAAAGTTCCATGCGCCTCGTCTCTATGTTTACAGAACCAAGTTTGCACTGTTTGTCGTAAAGACTCTAGCAACGACACAATGGGGGTAATTCTTAGCTGCCTTTGTGACTGCATTAACTAATTCTACAATGTTTGATGTCATTGTGGAAAATCTGTTCACTGGTATATGAATTCTCGACCACTTTTCAGGGCCGACTTCAGCCTGCAAACATGTATCATACATATGAGTTCCATATACAATGACATATGTGACCAATTTAGTGTGCGTGATATCTATTTTTGGAAAGCAATACATTACCAGGTATCCAGTAATATTCTCATTCATTGTGTGTAGTCGATGCATGTTGTATTCAAATTCCTCCAATGTGTAAGTGCGGACAGCCGAGTTGAAAGCTTGTGTAATATTTTCTCCTGATTTTCCATAATAATGTTTCAGGTTCTGTAGCAAATGATACGAGCAAATACAATGACAGGCTCCTGAATACACATGTTCTATTGCTTTCTTTATACTGCCATGACGGTCTGATACAAAACATAGTCCTTCTCTATATCCATAAGCCTCTTTCAGTTTTTCTAAAAACCATCTCCAAGAGTTATCGTTCTCATTATCCCCAACGCCAAAAGTAAGAACAAATATGCTATTGTTTGCGTCCTGTGTACATGCTGTGAAGAGTGTGCCCCCGTAATGACCAGTTAAGTATGTACCGTCGACTACAATTACAGGCCTACAATGTGGCCACCCACGTATTGAAGCACCGAGTGCCATAAAACAATACTTGAACCTGTTGTGACTATCAATTTCTAGATATGTGACCGTACCTGGATTCTTTTGTTGGAGCATGTAAAAGAAACTTGGTATCCTACTGAATGATTCGGTTGGATCACCCCTAATCATCTTTAAGGTTTGTTCACGGCATCTCCAAGCTTTCGTATAGTTCAAATAAACTCCAAAAGTATGTAACATTTCATTGCATATTTCCTTTGGTGTGTATATGGTGCTGGACGAAGTGTACTTATACTTGATTCTAGATGAAACAACTGCAGTTGTGACTTGTCTATGTGACCCCAACACTACATTTGATGCACATGTGTGACTACCAATCTTTCGAATCTTAAATAGATTCGTTTTGTCCCATTTCGATGATCTGCATATCCAACTACATCCTTCCTGTGAACACCTCACAACATATTCTTTCTTGTCTGACCGCTCAACCATGAACTCAAACATATTCCTTATGGCAAACAAGGATAGGCTCAATTTTAAAATCTCCTTATCACGGAAAACCCTTCCTTCTTCGACCTCCCCAGCTTCTGCTACTGAAACAACTGTGACCTCGTTGTCGTAAATGTGACCTACATGTTCACTCGATGCTTTGCATATTTCAGCTGCCATATCCTGCAATGTATGAAGCTCGCTGCTATGGTAAGCAGTATATGGAGCCGTGTTAGATGGCTTCTCTATTGCTGCATCGGTAACATCGATGACTAATGGGTATTTAGCAGGTTCGCGATCGCATTCTTTCAACAGAATGTACGAGAAGACGTTACCGTCATTTTTTATCCTGACTGGAGGCAAATTGTCATTCAGGACATACTTCAGTGACATTGCCACCTTTGTAGGATCCAAGCTGAACTCTGACATGATTGTGTCAACAAGGTTTACGTATCCGCAACCACGGTCTACCAATGCCAACGCTGACTGAGATCCATATAGCAAACATACGTGCACGTACACCATTCCTACAAAAATTGAATTTCATGTAGCTGATTTATTGTAATACAATGCATACAGTTCAAACATGAATGACTGTAATGACATGGAGGTCACATTTGTGAACAAGTAATATATGAGACTAAAGATGCAATAAAATGGAGGTCACATATGTTGGATGGCAACCACTGTTTCATGTGGTTACATTCCTACCAGATATATGAGAAGGTACGCTAAATATTTGACCCGATATTCATAGGATATGTGAACTTCTGTTCATATGTGGCATTGCTAACTAAATCGACGAGCAGTAGCATTACTATGTATCCAAACGAAAATACATTATCTTATTGTAGGTGAAACGGAGGTCACATACATGGATGGCAACCACTGTTTCACGTAGTTACATTTCGGTCACATTTATGAGAAGGTCACTTATGACAGGAATCAATGTCAGGATGCGTGGTGCAATAGATACATGCTTCCATTACATTTGTCACATTTGTTGTCAGTGTGCATAATGGAATAAATTGCATGCCACATTTTTTTCACATAGTTTACATTTCATGCTCGAAAACGAAGCCTCTACATTTACCTATTACAGTACAAATCACATAACACTGGTAACATATGCTGCCTACATCCTCTGATTGGTGTGGTTACAATCTGTTCAGATTATTGAACCGGTCACAAATCATCGGAATAAATCCCAAAGATGGTTTAAGGTAGTTCAGATTCGTTCACAACACTGATATGGAACAATGTTTTTGCATCAAACAAAATATGCGCCCAGAATAGATCCGATGGACGATTATGTGACAGCACGCAGATCCTATTCGATGGATCGTGACTACAAACATAGTAGCTATCTACAATATTGTCGAAGAATTACCTAGATTGTCTTCTTCTCTGCGATTGTGTTAATTTCACGAAATTGAGTCCCAAATCTGTGTCACAAACAATTAATTTCCATCAATCCAAATACAAAATTGAAAATATTCTGTGACACGGAGAAAATAATAATTTCGAACTAAGTTCAAATTCATCGTCCGTTACCTTCTCTTTTCTCCTTCTCCGGCGGCCAAAATAGGGTTGTGACGTGAAATTCTGAAATTTGGGCTCTTTTGGTTGAGATCTCAATTGTTGTAGTGGAAGGAATCCTGTTATAAATGGTAACTGAGCTTGATTTCCAAACTGCTGTAACAAAAATATATATATATATAAAAGAAATTTGTAAAGTTTCTAAAGTCCGCGTGTTAACTGGTATAATTAAAGGGAAAATTATATAATTATAATACTTTAAGTACATAATTTCACATTTAACAAACTTACATAAAAATTTCAAAATAAGGTACTACATATATTTATAAGATATTATTGCGTATGAAATTTAGAAAACCCAAATCTACAATAATCTCTCATTTACCATACCCAATCCAATCAACTATAATTCGATGTTGGTGAGAGGCTGGATGAGGATTTCGGTGTGGTGGATCTTTGGGCAATGACAACGACGATAGTGTCGAAGGCGAGAACTCAGTGGAGGAATGGAAGACCCGATCTTAATCGCCCTAACATTGTCATTTTTCGAAATTTAGGGTTTTGATTTCTTTTGTTTTTTCTGTATACTGTTTTCTTCTTTCTTTAACTGTTGAGTGAGAAAGACGAATTTGACTATTGGCCTCATCGAAGGTGGCAAAAGTAGTGGATGATTTTCATTAAGTGTGACGGTCGCGCCTTCTCCAGATAAGAAGTAAACAGTGCGGATTTCGAGTACGCCGCAGTTGCAAACGACCACTTTTTTAGTTGATTTTGGGACATCCATGGGCGGAGATGCAAATGAGGAGCAGCAAATTAAAACTAAGTTAGGAGTTAATTTATGAAATTGCTATGAAAATTGAAAAGAAATTGAAGAATGTAACTAGGGACGGCAAAAAAAACTCGTTCAATCTGATACCCGTGGGGCCCCGACCCTGAATGGGGAGTGTATTACCCGCCTAACCGTGTATATGGGATGGGTATGGGGCAAGGGTCATTGTCCCGAAACAAGTATGAAATTGGTACGGGAAACATAGTCCCCACCTCGTTTAATATTAATTTCAAATTTAAATTTTTATCAAACAAAAATAATAGATTTATCATTCTTTTTAAAGAAAACATAAGTTGTTTCTAACAAATTGGTAAAAAAGTTAATACTATTTACAAATTAAGGGCATAAAAACTAAAGCAAAAAATTAAAAAAAATAAAAGAAAAAATATATGAGGCGATAAATGGGGCTGGAGACTTGCCCTGCCCCATCCCGTTTTAATAGGATATAGGTATGGGGTAAGATAATAAAAATACCGACAGGACGGGGATAGGAATGACAACTTAAGCTTGAAGAAGTTGGCATCTAATTTTCTTCCCTTCTTCTTACCTTTTTTTTTTTTTTTTTTTTTTTTTTTTTTCCTTCCTTCCCGTTTCTGCTATGTGTTCTCTGCTTCCCATTTTCAGCCCCTGTTTCTATCAAATGAAGAAAATGGGTCCAAGTGAATGCTAGGTAGTGGAGCACTAACTCAAATTTTGCAAAAGAAGCCCGTAATCTTCTATTCTATAAAACATTTGGTTGACAACTTCCAATAATAGATAAGTAAATACTCAAATTTCTATTCTATAATAAGAGACTAGCAAGTGATATTCTAAACTGAAAATAAAGGGAAATGGTATGATTTACGACTAATAGAAATAGTATGGTTTGTGCTAAGAAAAGTTAGTGTCCATGATCGGTTTATTATATTATTTGTAATTAGTAAATGTGACCATGTATGTCTTAACACTTATAATTAATAATTTTAATAATTTTGTGACTGTGTCTGTCTTAATTGTCACTATATATGATCAGATATGCCATAATATTGGATGCCTGGAACTACGTATGTGTAAGCTGTTATGATTTGTGACCAGATCTATGTAAACTATTTTTATTTGTAACTAAGTTTGTCTTTAGTGTGACTGTGTGTGGCCATGTTTATCTTAATTTTAATTATATGTGACTAGGTATTTCTTGATTATGACTGTCTTTGGTGTGACTGTCAGTGAGGAGATTTATCTTAATTTTGATTGTATGTGATCAGGTATTTTTTAAATATGACCAAGTTTTTCTTAAATATGATGAGTTGACCTGTTTAAATTTTTATTATATGTGATCAGCATCACCATGACCATGACTGTATGTGACTATATATACGTTTACAGTTTTTTGTGACCTAATATGTGAACGACCCCTTTTGTGTGACCAATGTTTGTTAATTATGTCTATATGTGACCTTTTATATGTTTATTGCAACTCTTGTGATCAAGTTTGTGTTATTTGTGACAGTCTATCATTATATTTATTTTCACTGTGAATGTTTGTACCCTTGTTAACTAACTATGGCATATTGTTCTTTGACTGCAACTTACATTAATCAAAAACTTATTTTATTACAAGCTATTTCTCAATCACAAATTACAAATTTATAGGTCACAACTTATTTATCGATTACAAAGACACAAGTTGTAAGTCACAATTACAAATTTAATTATGAATCACACATTTTTAGGTTACATATTATTTATTGTTCAAAATTTATATGTTTTAATGATCACAATTACTCAATAATTAGTCACAACAGCTCTTTATCCAACGCATTCCGCCTCACCACCACCACCACCACCACCACCACCACCCACGGTACAAGCACAGCCTATTGCCTCAGATGGCATTGAGTCCGCCTATCATAAGTATGAGTTGGAAAAGCGAGATAGAGAGAAATAGGCAATAGATTTGACCCATTCCAGCCTATCATCACGTGCATCACATGCCACAACAAAGGTGAATAGTACAAATGAAGAAAGGGTTAAAAAACATTAATATTGTATTGTTTAATTCAATTTAATGTTGTTCGATTTACTCATTTTTAAGAGTGAATGGCATTAGAAATGTAATGTTAGGAAGGATTGGAACACGAGAGCCAAGAAGATCGACAATTGACCAAATATTATTTGCTTGATTTACCAAAATGAAAGTACTAATTAGAGAATAGACTATAAATTTTCTACTCGAGATCTTCTGGACAGATTGTAAACTTTTTGCATCCAGAAATAAAATTAAGTTTGGCATTATTGTGTAACAAAAAGATCCGTTTTAAGGTCATCAGCCCTTGGTTTGTCACATGAAGTCGAGCCCCTTATCACTTCAAATGATTTGTAGTCGAGATGGAATTGTAAGACAACCATCCAACTATAACCACAGAACAACCATATTTCGACTCTAGTTGGAAATATTGTCAATTTCACAGGTAACGATAATGGCCTTAGCTACATCGTCCACCCAACAGTATCAGTAATTTCGGTTGAAATGTTTTCCTTTTATGTCTAAAAAATTGAAGTGAGTGCTATAACAATTTTATGAACAAATGGAAAGCTATCCTCATTAGTAAATGTTTGTGCAAGAAGAAGGTTGAGATCTTGCAACATTGTCCAACATACAGGGCTTCACTGAAACTCGAGAGAGGATCTTGCAACATAACACAGCCTTATTTTTTACAATCTTCATAATACTGAACTAGAAACTCTTTCACACTATAGATACTTTTCGTGCAAAAACGAACAATTTGAACTCATGGTTTTGAAAAGAGAGATCACAATCATATTTTTCAAGAATTGCATGAATGACCATTCCAACTCTTCCATGAATCTCAAGCCTTTTTCATGTTTCTGCAATTAACATGAGTAATTTCACGAAATCTTTGACAACGAATGCAATTATTAGGAGATCAAAAAAATGGAAAATCTAAAAGTTGCATCAGATATATAGAATCTGAATTTTGTACAATACCTGTCAACATTATTTCCATTCTCTTGGCTACTTTTTCCTCTTTGAAATTCAGATGGTTCAGCGATATAATCTGAAACCAGATTCTCATCATTCCAATAACCCAAGTCCCGAATTATTGGATCCACAAACAGATCGTTGGTATCAATAATGTCATCGAATCCAATACATGGTTTGCAATCAGGATATTTAGGGAGACTGAAAGTTGGGTTTTCTACTAAGAACGATGATTGATTAATGCCCATCTTCACTGCAATCGGTTTGGGAGTGCCAATCGACGAGGACGTCATCAAATTTCTTTCTACTCTGATTCAATTTCACTTTCTACTTCGCAAATAAAGAGAGATGGTTCTGCTTTGGTTTCATCTCCTTTCTGCTTTGCAAATAGAGAGAGGATTTCAGTTCTTAATCACCTGATTTCCGTAAAAAAAATTCTTAATCATCTGATTTTTTATAATTAAATCTTAAACCCCTAGTTTTAGGTAATTTCCCATAATTAGAAGTACATAAGATATTGAATTTGAAGTTCAATTTAATTTTATTATTTAGCATGACCTATCAAACCATCCCGATCAATAATGATGCAAAAAATCGTTTAGAATTTGAATGGATATTCATTGAAGAACCAAAAGATTCTTCAATTCGATAAAAGCACATATAATACTTGTTCTCTAAGTTATAAATTGGTGATGACAACCACTAGCTAGAATTAGGACTAAATTCCTATAATCTTGAAAAGTAATTAGTGATATATGGATCCTATTTCCCTCGATGTTATTAAGACAGTTTATCTTGTCCATGTTATTAAGACAGTCTACATCCCAAGTTCGATATATGTTAGCAGGGATAATGATAAATGGTTTAACACAATAAATTGTTAAGTGCCTTCAACTAATTGCTAAATCATTACTATTGTGAATAAAATGCTTCCATTTTTGCTATGATGTTTTTCAAGCAGCAAGACACATACATATCATGCCCACATTAAAGTTTTTCTTGTTATATTTGGCTTATTATTAGAAGCATACTATTGTCCTCTATTAATTTTTTCTTAGTGCAATATATATACAATTGTTCAATCATAGTGTACTAAGAGTATTTTAAAGAGACTCTCTATTTTTAAAGATTATATTATATCATTTGGAAAGCATATGTAAATTTAGAGAATTAACATTTTGAAATACTTCAACAAACTTGTTATATCTAACACTTAATTATACTACTTTCAAAATTTTATTATTATTTTTCTCTATATTTATTTTGACTAGCTTTTCTCTAAGTTATTTTATTATTTTCCTGTATTGAAAACTGAAACATTTTAAATGCATCTAATTATAGATAGTGAGTTTGGCCTCAAACTAAACCAAACCCACTCTTTAAATTAAAATGTTCATTTAAAGAATTTCTTGGAGCATAATATTAAGGATTGACTCTTTAAAATAGAGAGCATCTTATGTTTAAAAAGTCTATTGGAGAATTAAAGAATATGAGAATACCTGTCTAGTTTGGATCATTTTAAAATTATCTTTAGGCTTAAGAAATTTTTTATGCAATTTGTTAATTGTCAATTTGACTGATAATTTTTTCATCGCTATGGTGAGGAATTAAAAAGTTGAAAATAATATACATAATGCATTATTATATTATCTAGATATCTACAAAGACAATTTGAACTAGAAGTTCGAAAGATAATTTTTTTAGATGTATTTACGGATCAAAGAAATTAACAATCTCACAAACCAGCTTTAAATGTTCCATTTCAAACTGACGTCCTCGAAGGATAATTCATTAACACTATTTTTGATAAATCTATGACATATCTGCTTTGTGATGATATTCAATTTTGAGATAAAAATCTCAAAAATAAAAATAAAAATGAGCAAATAGAAAAGATTGTCACATTTATGAGGCGTATATTCTTGGAGAACATATAAGCATAAACAAATAGAAAATACAAAAAAAGGTTCAAATACTTGAAATATTTGAAATTGAGATATTTTAATAAGTTTTGTCGTTATGTAATTAAATAAAATTCTAAAAATTAAAAGTGCTGAAAAATAAAATTTTAAAATTCTTAAAAAATTAAATTCTTGAAATGTACTTTTGTTTCTCTTGTCATAATGATAGATAAAAAAACATAAACTTTCTTGATGGGAAAATATACAGTTTTTGCAAGAAATAAAATCGAAAAGAAAAATGTTGTTGAAAATACTTTTGAACATGATGTACGACATCATATTATGAATAGTGAGGATGTCGAAATAAATTTGTTGAATCATATCTATTGAAGAAATAATTAACCAAATAAAAGGATGCAATCTTGTCAAAAACTAAATTGCTAGAGAAGCTTGAAGTTTATGAACTTTAGTTCAAACATCTAAAAGTGTATACTTATACGAAATATAAATGGCAAAAATGGAGTTGTAAAATGTAATGCCCAACACTAGGTATAAAATTCTGCAAAGACTTGTATAATTACAAATTAACCTGTGGTGGATACATTCACCAGTCTATATCTTGTTATCTTAATAATAAATGAAATTTGATTTGTGTAATAAATATGACTCATCTGACATGACTATTGATAATACTATTGAAGGATTTCACATGCTTGAAGTATATAGTTCAAGTGATATTATCATGATGGGAGTAAATACACTTTGTACTCTCTTTTTTTTATCAATGTTTAGTTCATTGGATTTTTCTGGTAAGTTTTTTTATAGAGTCAACTATTGTAGTGTTCTCAAAAGAATAATGTACTATTTTTCTCACATATTTTTTTCTAATAAGGTTTTAACAAGTATATTCTTTGTTTAATGAACGTCCTGTTACGTCCATAAATTATAAGACATTTATTCCAAAAAATAACTTTTACATATTATAAATTGTGTACAAGATTTATGAAGAGAATAAAAACAGGATCCATTTTTTACTAAACCATAATTTTCCTATAGTTGTTGATCCCAAAAAATGTGTCAACAGAATCCCGACCTCGTTCTCTCAACACAGACATCACCTGCATACAAAACAATCTGTTAGAAGGCAAAGGCCGCTATTTGAGAAAAAGATCCATTGATTGTTTGCACTCCGATAATCAAGTTAACGATTGGACAAAATACTATGAGAGTGCGATAGACAAGAGAGGGAGTTTGGTTAGGATTCGGAAACATACTTTAACGAAGTGAATTCACACATATACATAGGAAAATGTAAATGGGCCAAGCCCAAGATGCAAATGTTCAATTAAAATAGGCCCAATTAATGAACAGTCGATGCCATATTAGTCAATGAGGGACTCCCTCATCACGCGCATGTCACGTAATTTATAGATATAACAATAGTCCTCAAAGTTTGAGTCGTACATTTATGTGCGGGTCAAAATTCGAAATATAAGTAGTCAACTAGATGAGATCTTACAGATTGCCTCAAAAATATAAGTAGCTTCTATATGCAAGAACATACGAACTGCTCCGAAAATATACATCAATCCCAAATAAGTGAGGACTTACAAATTACCTTGAGAATATGAACCACTCCAATAACTCTGGATTTACAAACTGCCTCAGAAAATATGTGTGCAAGTTAGAATAAGAAAGAACTAACAAATTGCCTCGAAAGATAGATATTAAATATAATTTTTTGAAATTTCAGCAACGTCCCCTCTATAATATGGACTGGAACAACCTGTAATACAATATAATATATCCACTGCACATGTACAAAACAAATTGGGTCCACTTACCACTCAAATTACTCATAACGATAAAGTAAATAATGACATATCACATTTCTTCAACATAAAGTGTAGATGGTCTGTCATGCGTCATAGTAAATTATATACTTGCATAGCTCAGTATAACAGTAGTGCTATAGTAAAGCAAGTAACATGTCGACGATGCTAAATTTTGAAAATAATATTATGATACACTAGCAATGATGTGACATGCATACTTGGCAACAATAATATAATGTACATGCTAGCAGTAATAATGTAATGATAAAGAAATACTAGTATCATAATAGTCCCCAAGTCGGAGTCGAATATTTATATGAAGGCCGGACATAAAATATAAGTCCCTGTGATAAAGTTGATGCAAAAGCGAGACTTCGAATATAAGCAGCAGAGAAGATGAGGCGATGCTCTAGACATAAAAAGATATGGTAAGCTAACATCCTTACATTGGGTGGCACATCCATGTCAAAGACTTCCTCCATGGTGTTTGATCCCGCCATGGAAAGGATTAACCTCTAAGGTAGTAAGGTGCGGCTCCGTGTGAGAGGAATCACACTTGTCCTGGTCGAGTCCTTTTTTTACCTCCTTGTAAGGGGATGTCTCTTCCGTGCAAAGCTTTTTCATGGTGTTTGATCCAACTATAGAAGGTTTCGTCTTTGTAGGTGTTAAGGTGGGCCCACCCATCTCCTTACGAAGCGGTTAATGACATCTTTGCATGGTGGATGATTCATCCATGTCGAGGACCTTCTGCATGGTGCATGGTTCATCCATGCTACGGATACTCTCTGAAAATAAAGTAGATGTGACATAGTTAAAGTAGAAGGAAAACTCTGAAAGATAGGTAGCATTAATATAGAGGCATGATGAGCTTTCTGAAGAGAAAATGTGGCTATAATGCAATAACTCATACAATAAGGCATCTCGGGAAGTGACAAATAAATATCAAGCTAGTGGCTTATCTCAAACTATTGTAGACTTATAAGTAGGCCTCGGATAGATAAGGTCTTATAGTTGGACTCAATGATGGTGAAGGGCGATGGATAATCATCTCGCGAAGCTAGGAATAAGTATCTGGCGCTTTCGAAAATAAACATCCCACGAATAGCTCTCAAACTTTCAGTCTTATAAGTGATCTTGAATAGATGAGATCCTATAGCTAGACTCAACGACAGTAATTGGTGAAGAATAAGCATCTTGCGAAGCCAGTAATAAGCATCTGGTGAAGAGAAGAATAAACATCCCGCGAAAAGCTCTTGAACTGTCGAAATCTTATAAGTAGCCTTGGATAGATGAGGTCCTATAGCTAGGCTCGACAATAGTGAGAGGCGAGGAATAAATATCTTGAGAAGCGAGAAATAAATATCCTGCGATACACTCTCTAATTGTCAGAGTCTTATAATTGGCCTCAGATAGACGAGGTGTTACAGCTAAACTCAACAATAGCGAGAGGCTAGGAATAAACGTCTCGCAGCGCCAGAAATAAGCATTTGGCGAGATGGGGAATAAACATCCCGTGAACAGCTATTGAACTATCGAAATCTTATAAGCTGCCTCGATCAAACGAAGACTTATAGCTAAGCTCGACAATAATGAGAGATGATGAATAAATTATCTTGTAAAGCTAGGAATAAGCATCTGGCAAGGCGGGAAATAAACATTTCACGACTAGCTCTCGA